GAGGGGAGAGGGGAGAGGAGAGAATCTTAAAAACCAAAAACCAAAATTAAAAAAAATTCTATTTAGGCAGACAAATGTATAGAAACCTTTTAAATGTTCAAAGAAAACTGAAAATACATGTTTTAGCAGAGAGGCCAGCAACTGTCATGGTTGACAGATATGGAGAATTCACAAGGAAGTATTTAATTTAGTAATGAGGAAAGAGGATTTTGGTAGCTGGGAAGAAGTAGAAGAAAGAAAGAATTAAATGAGAGAAGGTATAGAATCATGAAGAACTGTGGTGTTTTGTATAATGCCAGAATCTGGACTGTCAGGATTTGTTGAAAGAATAATGTGGAAGATGATGTTAAAAAATAAGCTTATTTTTTCCTATTATAGAATACCTGGGACGTGAGTCAGTGAAATTTACATATTATTATGTTGGAAGTGGGAATTTTCTACAGTATTTTGAGTTCATTTGACATTAATAAATACCATTCAAAGCTATAGTTATTAATTTTACAATTTTCTTTGTAGTTCTTTCTCATAGAAATATATGCTTTTATATGGTTATAGTTTTTATAGATATTTGAGCTCAAGTATTTTATTTTACAGTGTATGGATTATCTCATGTTGCTGAACTCATTATAGTTTTTAAATTTTTTAAAAAAATTTATTTTCATTTTATGAGTATTTTGCCTGCATGTATGTAAGTGTAACGTATGTATAATGCCCACAGAGGCCAGAAGAGGGTGTCGAATTCCCTTTGAAGTGAAAATATGGATGGCTGTTAGCTGCCATGTGGGTGCTAGGAATTGAACCCAGGTTCTTTGCAAGAACAACAAATGCTTTTAACCACCGAGCCATCTCTCTAGTCCCTCTTCTTCTAGTTTCTAAAACATTTTTGTTTGTATTATTGTAGGAGGGGCATGCATGCTATGTGGAGGAAATGCTGGTAGTTGCCTGTCTCCTTTTACCTTTACATGGGTTCCTAGGGTTGGACTAAGGTCACCAGGCTTGTGAAAGTACCTTTACCCATGGAGCCATCTCACCAGCCCAACATTCTAGTGTGTGTTTGTTTTGAAAGACCACATGTCCTTTTCTTTCTGTTTGGATAACCTATGTGAGCACTGAACTAACAAAGGCAGGAAGACCTGTTAGGAGACTGTTGTTATAGTGCTAGAAAAATGATGAAGACTTGAGCCAAGCCAGCAGTGAGAGTGCAGATGGACCAACATCCTGACCCCTCAGAACCCCAGCAGAAATTGAGATGCATTTCATCAAGTTTCCATTACTGATTATTTTTCCAGAAGAGTAGTTATCAGTCAAATCATTTTAATTCAGGCCACTTGTGATGGTGACAGTTTGAAATAATCCATCAATTTTCTCTGCATGTGTTCAAAATAGTATTTATCAAGCCTCTAGTCAGCCTCTTTAGCTAATTAACCTCTTGATAAGAATTTTGCAATCAAACCCTAATTATAGCTTTCTCCCTTTTGCCATGTCTGTGCTCCTTCAGGGGACGCTTCGGGGATTTATGTGAAAAGTATCATACCAGGCAGTGCTGCGTACCACAATGGCCAGATTCAAGTGAATGACAAGATAGTTGCTGTAAGTTACTACTGGGGGAAAGAAGCTGATCTTTACATCCTATGCAGCAGAGGAAGACAGCTTAATAGTACAGTAAAATCACATCAGTTGAGCATCCTATGGCTCTAAATATCATTTTTTTGGTAAAGGAGGAAAAAGTTCACTAAACATTGGTAGCAAAAAGTTACACATTCTTTTAAAAAATTATTTTTTTGTGTATGAGTGTATTGTCTGCATGTGTGCAAGTGCACCTGTGTCAATGAATACCCATGGAGTTCAGAAGAAGGCATTAGATCCCTTGGAACTGGAGTTATGGACTGTCGTTAGCTACCATGTGGGTGCTGGGAACCAAACCTGGGTCCTCTGCAAGAGCAGCCAATGCTTGTACCTGCTGAGCCATCTCTCTAGCCCCCTAGATATATTCTTAAATAAATACATCCATGCAAATGTATGATGCTCTTGTCTTCCCCTAGAAAGAACTCTTCAAGTATGTCTTTGTGTTCTTTTACATTCACCATTTTATATACAGTGAATAGTTCTTCTGCCAGCCTTTTTGACCATTATGTGAAATGATTTTCCACTTAGAATGCTTTTGAGTATACTCAAAATCGAAATATTTTATATATTTGGGAATACAACCTTTTGCTAATTAAAATTGGTCTTCTATTTAGTAGAAATAAAAATTTATATCTACATTTTTTTTAATCTGTTTGCATGTGCGTGCACACACACACACACACACACACGCACACAGAGTGGTTTATATAAGAAACAGATGGTGAGTGGTACAATTTGAGTCTTTGCCTTTTGATGTTTTGGTTGTTGGCCTGACCCTTCAGTGACCAAGCTATCCCTCCAGCCCAAGTCAAAGCCCAAGTCTGTCTTTTAAGTCCATCTAAGGAACACTCTTCATAACTATTGACTTTTACATGAATGGGCTTAGAAAATGCCTTTTGATGATCTGTAAGATCTGGAGGCCAGCAGTAGCAATGCACATTTTGAGAGAACTCAGGAAGAAATCTGAAGTAATAGTTTGGGTGTTTAGGAGAGATGGAGAGGGGCCTGTTACTCTTGATGAACTTCAGAAATGTGGAGTTGGCCTTGACTTAAGATATCTTGCACATACATTTTCAGAATTTTACTAGACCTAATGGAGGGAGATTGGTGTGTTGTATCAGTTATATAACAGAAAATATCACATAGTGCTATCATATAGTGATAACATATTTAATTTTGGTAATGAATTTTATTGGTACATGTTGAGCTATAACAATTAACTGGATTTCAGCATTATAAATTTTGTCTAGCATGAGGGATTAAAGCCCTTTGTCTTTCTCATGCTGCTAGTTAAAATGCATGACTTAGGAGTACAAATTTAAATTTGTTTTGTAGTTTGCATGTAGGTTTGTGAGCAAAACTATTTTTATTCTTATTCAAAACCACTTTCTAAGTTTTATATAAATTATTCAGGGGATAGCAAAATTAATCACTTAATTTTTTTTCAACATCACCAGAATTAAAAATGGTATTCATTATGGGGTTGGCTCATGCCTGTAATCCCAACACTCAGGATGCTGAGACAGGAGGATCTTGTGAATTTGAGGCCAACTTTGGCTACATTGTGAGTTCAAGGCCATCCTGCACTAGCAACATAGAGACCTCTGGGAGTCACAGGCAGACAGATCTCTGTGAGGTCAGGGCCAGCCTCGTTTACATCGAGTTCCAGGCCAGTTGGGGCTACATGAGAACCCTGTCTCAAAATAAAACAACAAACGAAAAGAAAAACAAAAAGGGAAGTAGTTAACCTGAAACTGTTCTGTCTTTTAATGCTACAGGTGGATGGTGTGAATATTCAGGGCTTTGCTAACCAGGATGTTGTTGAAGTATTAAGAAATGCAGGGCAGGTGGTGCATCTAACTCTAGTTCGCAGGAAAACATCTTCAACTGCTTCTCCATTTGAACAGCCTTCAGACAGAGGTAATTAATGCTATCAGCCCTCTCTTCTCCATGGAGTCTACATTTGGAAAAACAGCCAAGCTATGGACATTGCTCTGGGAATTTGATTAGGAAAAATTTTCCATGTTATGTAATGTAGTAATGGAGAAATGAATCAGCTCTTGGCATTCCCTGTTGCAGTGCGCCAGCCCAAATGACAGAACACAGTTTCCTGCCAAATGAGTGCCCAGAGCTCCTCCAAAGGGAGACCCATATTGCTTCTTTCAATTCATGAATCTTCTGTCATATATCTTAACATTTCTCAACTTCAGATTTCATATTACTTTATTTAATTTTTGGATTTTTTTGAGATAGGATCTTACTATGTAGAGTAGGCTGGCCTCAATCTCACAGAGATCCACCTGCCTCTGCCTCCTGAGTGCTAGGATTACAAGGCGTGTGCCATCAATGCCTGGCTCAGTGATATAGTTTACTCTAATTGGCTCTAGATTTTATTTATTTATTTATTTATTTATTTATTTATTTATTTATTTATTTTTATCTTCTTTTTTGAGATAGGGTCTCCCCTATAGCCCCAGCGGGCCTGAAGCTCTGTAGACCATGTTGGCCTCAATCTCACAGAGGTCTGCCTGTCTCCTGAGTGCTGCGATTAAAGGCATGTGCCACCATGCCTGGCTATCTGGGTTTATTTTTTGAAGTATAGTAACAGAAAATAAAACAGGAATTTTTATCAAGAACTTTTTTTTACTAAAAAACAGTATTTGTTGTCAATAGGGTTATAAAAATAGGAAATCTTCATTGTGGAAAAACATAAAATTATGAACATATCTGTTTTGAATTAGCAATTTATTAAATGTATGTTTCAGTAAAAGTTGATAATGAAAGCTGGACATGGTGATGGTGCACACCTTTAATCCCAACACTTGGAAGGCAGAGGCAGGTAGATCTGTGTGAATTCAAGGCCAGCCTGGTCTATATAGTGAGTTTCAGGACAGCTGGGGTACAGGGATACCCTGTCTCAACCCCCGCCCCCACCAAAAGAAAAAAAACCCAAAAAGTTGATAATGAGAACATGACTCAAAGAGAGTGACTGGTATATAACTAGTGAGTGACAAACTTCTCTTAGCATTCATCAAAGGTGAACAGAGTTGACTGATGTTTAAGTTAGAACTTTTGTTTGTATTTTAGCTAGGCCCTTGCTATGTAGCTGAGGCTGGTCTTCAATTTCCAATATTCCTGACTCAGCCTCCCATGTGCTTGGATTATAAGTGTGCATCACCATACCAACTTAAACTGGAACTTTTAACGTTTTATATGCTAGTAGATATTTTGTTGCTAAAAAACAAATGCGCTGTCAATATAGTACAAATTGCACATATACCATATGGACCTTAAATGTTTATATACATATTTATATAATAGCTTTTAATAGGTATAACAGAGCCCTTTTCTTCCTTCTCTTATATCAAATGGATGTAGATATGGCCCTGTGTGTATAGTAGGCCTTTATCTGGGCATGCCTGTATTTTGTACCAGGATAAATTCTGACTTGAAATCTGCCCTCCTTTCCCTCTGCTTTGGGTATCTTTCTTAAGTAGCACTCAATGAGAACTGCTTTAGCATTCAGCACACATTGTAATTACCTGTTTCAAGAGAAGGACTACTCATCTTTGTGTATCTGCACATGGTCACTATTTAGATGTCTGAAACAAACTACATAGCTTCTAGCTCTTGTTTAATGTCTCTCATTCCTCTAAAATTCTACTATTCACCTATCCTGTGTACCTATTTAAAACATTTTTTAGAGTTTACGTTTATTTAATTTTTGCATGTGTATGTGAGGCACACACATGTATGCATGTCATCCTGTGCATGTGGACATCAGAGGACACCTTTGGGGAGCTGGTTCTTTCCTTCTACCATATGGGTTCCAGGGATTGAACTAAAGATGTCAGGCTTCGCAGCAAGGGACTTTCCCCACTGAGCCATCTCACGGGCCCCATATTTGGATATTCTTTGTGGCATATAGTTACACTGTGTTGAACTATAAGTTCTGATGGTGTATAGACCCTAACAGATGGAATGGGATTGTCCATTCTAGATTACCATAACTGAAGTCTTTCCACCTCAGTTATGATAATCTAGATAATCCCTTACAGACAAGTCCAGAAATTCCTTTCCATGGTGATTCCAAATCCCATAAAGGTGACAATCAAGGTTAAACTTCACAATTATTGTTAAGTGAACACTATTGGTGACTGCATGTACATGATTGTCTGGCCTATCTGTAGGATCTTCCCATCTCACACTATTGAAACTGTATGTTCATTAACTTTCAATCCCCCCACCCCCACAGTGGTCATTTTTCTTTCTGTTTCTACAAGTTTGACTATGTAGCTAGCTCAGATGGATTGAACCATGCTGTGCTTGTGCTTCTCTGATGGATGATTTTACTTCGCATTGTGTTCCAGGCTCATCAGTGTTCTAGCTTAGGATAAGATTCCCTTCTCTTTAAAGAATCAATAATGTTCTATTTTTTGTATATACCATATTTTATTTATATATTCATTCTAAGTGTATACTGAGGCTGTTTCTGCATCTTGGTTATTATAAATAATGCTTTACTTAATGATTGGCATTTCTTATCTTAGCACTTATTTATGGGCATCAGTGGATTAATGATCTAAAAAATACTATGTGAGTGGTTCAAAGTCTCATAGTACAATCATAGGAATTTTTTTTTTTTGAGACAGGGTCTCCTTGTAGCCTCAGCTGGCCTGGAACTCACTATGTAGACCAGGCTGCCCTTGAACTCAGAGATCTGCCTGCCTCTTCTGGGATTAAAGGTGTGTGCCACCACGTCCAGTCCTACAATCATCGGAATTTAGGTGTATTTTTCAGCTTTTTATTGTTAAAGCACTTAAGCATGTAGAAAAATGAAAAGGATATGATGGCTCCCCACCCACCTACCATTAGACTAGCAGTTTCCATTTTGCTTACTTCTGTCTTTCTCCTGTGTGGGTTTGTTTGTCCAAGGTTTCCTATGTAGGCTTGTTCATAATGTACTTGATATTACAGTGCTAGTACCTTTGCAGAGCTCAGAGCAGTTAGTCCAGCATATTTTCATGTACATACTTAGTACTTGGTGGTAACAGTACGAGCATACAGCCTTGGCATTTTGTTCTTGTCTTTTCTGAAGCTGTATTATGAAGCATCTCTCCCTGCTTTGTCATGGACTTGGCCTTGCTTTTCCTTCCATTGCCTACTTCCTCATTCTTTCAGTACCATTAAAAAATTTATTTTTGGAATTAACTGGTTACCTCACCTGACATCTTAGCATATAAGAATCATGGCAGTGAGGATGTAACTGGGTAAATGCAAGTGAAATTAGCTCATTAAAAAAAATATTATCACTTGTTACTAGACATTCAAATTAGCAATTCTTACTTTAGGAACTGTTGTAGAACCTCCCAAAACACCAACCCTATTAATTGGAGCTGTGAAAACAGAAACTGATTTGGATATCGAAGCAGAGGAAATTGGAGAAAGACTAGATCATCTAAAAAAGGAAAACATACAAGCCTTAGAAAAATCAGGTAAGTCCAAAACCTTTACTTTGGAGTACTTCCACTTTCTCATTCGGTAGTCGTTTCCTTTGTCTGTAGTTAATAAAATGTGGCACCTGAGAGTCAGAGACCAAGACCTATGCAATAGAGATAATATTACATCAAAAACTTTGTAAGGCTACAAATATCCAAATAACCAACTAGCAACAAAAGACAGGGATACCTTTGGCGTGGGGCGGGGGGGACTATAATTGTAGATGGGCATGAGAGGCCACTGTCCAGCACTCACCATGAGTTAAGCCTGCAGATCTTGGACCTGATGCAGAGTACCATCACAAACCATAGAATGGTCAATTCTGGTTCACATGGAGGCTGCAGTTCTGTGGAACCAAAGGCCAGCAGGACAGCAGCAGGCAACAGACCCTGTTAGAGATCTCAAGGACAGTTGGTGAGCTTTGCTGTTACGTGGATTTTCAAAAACCATCACCTGCTGCCACATGCACTTTTCTTCCTAGCAGAAAGCATATGCAGTCTCTTCCTCTGTTGGTGCTCTGAGAAGTCCAGGGCTAAGATGAACCCCTAGTAAGGCAGAAACAAGTCTTCCAAAGACAGCCTAGTAGTTCTTGCACTGAACTTTTAAAGAAATCATTGAAATCTCACAGGGAAATAGGTACCATCTTGAGACCATCTTGAGACCAAGTGGTGCCTTAGTGAAGTGCAAGTGAGCTTTGGAGCTCCACAAACAGAGACAGAAAGCTTCAGCCAGCAGTAGTTTAGGCACCAGGCCTTGGCTGTGGGGGCTTGCACCTGTGTTCCCTCAGTCCCCGCCCTGTCACCGCCCTGGTATTCTCAACAGTCTACATCTGCCTGAGAAGTTGGAGGTCACATCAGCAAATACACATTTTATTTATTTATTTTTTTACAATTTAAAAATATTTTATTTATTATTTTTATTTTATGTGTTTGAGTGTATTGCATGCATGTATGTAAGTGCACCCATGTTTTGCAATTCCAGTGGAGATCAGTTATGGACACTTTTAGCTGCTATTTGGGTGCTAGGAACTAAACCTGGGCCCTCTGCAAAAGTAGTGAGTGCTCTTAACTGTTGCTCAGCCATTTCTCCAGCCCCAAAATACACATTTTAGTTGGTAGTGGTTTGTGAAACAGGTTTAGCAAAAAATATATTGAAAGTAAAAACCAGAAAATGATCGAGAAAAGCCAAGTGAAGAAAATACACCATTTTCCCCAAATGTTGGTTAAAGAACCTGGGTTCAGAAGACATCAGGGGAAAACAGCCAAAACAAGCTCAGCCATTCTGCTCCACAGGACCCACTCTGCCATCACTAGTCAATTCACAAGGAAAACCAGGGTAGCCAGTTGTTTCCACAGGCATAGGCCTAGTTCCTCTGGAGACTCCTACCTGACCAAATGGGGCTGGGAGCACTTTTAGTTTGGAAACTAGGTTGGCTCATACTGTCCTCTGAAAATCCTGGCTTGGTTCATAGATTTCTGTTCTTGGTTCATAAGTTTCTGTTCCTTATGCCCTATGTTTGTAAGGCTGATGAGGTGCAGGCTGGAGCCTCTGGCCCTCAGGCTCCTATGACACTGCTCAGTGGCTTCTGTGCCAGTCAGAACATCAGAATTGATTTTGCAGTGCACTTTAAGGAACAGATTAACTTATTTTTTTAATTTGACCTTAAGTAAAATTTTATGACTTTTGAGTCACTTTGATATTACTTCCAAATTATTTTATGATCTTTCTGAAGGAAATATTGCAAAAATTTTAGATGATTTTCTCTTTTCAAAAAATATTAATGAGCAAATAACAGTAACTCTGAAAATAAACAAGACCAGTTTATAAATCTGAGTAAAGTAACAGATTGGGGTGCTAGTCTTTGCCACTGGAGAAGACCAGCCACAGGGCTCTGACTGTGACTCTGAAAATGGGAAAGATTTGGTGACTTTCTGAGTATCAGCTCCAATCTTTTGCCCTAAATGGGAAGTAAAATAAATGAAAACTGCCCAAACTTCTCAGGATCCTTTGGCATTAGAAACCAGCTAGGAGCTGTACCTGAGCCCTGTGCACACCTCACCATGCACACCCCTGCAGGGTTGGCAGCAGCCTTGGTATTACACACCTGGTGTTTGCAGTGCCAGCACTGGCCTCCAAGGATGTGAAGCCATGTCATTGTTAAAAACTAGGGAAAGAGTGGTGAGGAACCAGGTGCTGGTCCCTGAGGAATGGCCCACCTGAGTGTGCATGGCCCCCTCCCTGGCACCAGCACCAGGGCTCCCTGGTTCCCAGGCACACTCAGGTGGACACTTCTGATGGCTTCAAAGTGTTTACTGTGATGTACGGCAGCATGGTATGACATGCTCATCTTCCAGAGCTACCTTATTTTCAAGAACTAAAACCCTGTTTAAAGTTAATGCAAACAACTATCAGTTGCCTAATATCTGCATCTATGAGAAGTGTAGTTGATGACTGTTAGTAGAGTAAATCACTGTGTTCATGAGTGTCATGGTGTCACCATACCCTGTTGAGATGTGAAATGCCCTATCAGAAATTAAATGTAAGTTTAAATGTGCCAAAAAAAAAGATCTGTATAAAAGCAAAATTTCTATCTGAGGAAAGTTTGACGACGCTGTAGATGTCTTAGAGATTTAAAATGGGGTGTTTTGCTAGGGATGTAGCACAGTGATAGAGTGCCTGCTTAGTATGTGGGCTCAACCCCAGTCCTACCACCAACATTCCCCTCACCCCCGCCTCAAAATAAAGAAATAAAATGAGGTATTCTGAATGTCATAATCTTAACACATTTGGCAGTGGAGGGCCAAGAGTATTCTTGTTTAATCTTTTTAAAATATATTAGTTTCAAATGCATAATTATTAGTATGCAGTAACTACTTACAGCATTTCTTATTACTACATGTTCTAACTTCTGTTGTATTATTGATGTTCTTGTAGCTATAAATTATAGCTATCTGCATAAGCATAGCAGTGTTTCTTTGTAAAAATTAATAACATGCATTTTATGATGCATCACATTACCAGGCGGTTATACAATTATTTTAAAATTTTCTTTTGACTTGGCCTTTTTTTATTTCAGTACTTTAGCTACTCTGCAAAAGTACTCAAGAAAGTGGGGCCAGCTAAGTAGAACGTCTCCATATGCTTAACCCCATCCACGTTCCAGAGAAGTCTTGGCCTTTGGCTTTTCTTATGTGAGGAAAGGTAGCCTGAACGAAGGGTTACCCCTCACTCAAGATAAAAAATTCCCTGTGGTTTGGAAGCCCGTTTTGTTCTTTTTGATCCAAATAGAGTGTAATTAACCTTTAATATTTTAAATTAGTTGAGTTGTGATGAATTTCAGTGAAATATCAGATGAAAATCAAATGAAGTTAGAAATAGTTTTAGAAGTATTTTATCTGTGCCTCATTTTTGTTTATTTTCTGAGAGAGGATGTCACTGTACAGCTCAGGCTGGCCTGGAAGTCACAATCCTGCTTCTACCTCCCGATGCCTTTTAAATTAATTTCACTTTTTTCTCTTCATGCATATGTATAATTCAAGTTGAAAGCAAACCAGTTTTGAGGCTAGAGAGATGGCTCTGCCACTAAGAGCACTGCTCTTACAGAGGACCCAGGTTCAGTTTTCCAGCATCTACCTGGCAGCTAACAACACTCTCTAACTCCAGTTTCAGGGAATCTGATACCCTCTTCTTGCCTCCATGGGTATTGCATGACATGGATGCACTTAATGTACATGTAGGCAAAATACATAAAATAAAAATAAATCCCCCAATTTGTTTTTAAAAAAGGAAGCAAACCATATCCTGACTGCTGTGAAGTTAGCACTCTTTCATGCCCAGGTATTAGTTGTTTAAGATAGTCTTGTTTATTCACCAGTTCCATCATCTGGTGTGGCCTTTTCTTGAGTTGCTGCAAATCAGTTAATCTTCCTCTGACACTTAGTTTTTTGTGCTGTGCTTTAGTGCGCATAGCTGTCTGTTTCCACTGTATAACCAGAAAGTAAACACAAATTGGTGAAATGTCAGTATTTTTTCTTACATATGTGTGAACTTTCTTTCTTCTCACTACTGTGTTTTTAGGCTTAGAATTTACCCAGTACATTGTAGATTTTTCTCAGATTCATTTAGCAGATATAAAACTGATGCTTGGAAGAAACTGAACAAGTAAAATGGTGACACTCTTAAGAATTTGGTGGAGGGGCTGGAGAGATGGCACAGTGAGTAAAGGCACTTGCTGGCAAGCCTCATGACCAAGGTCAATTCTCAGAACCTCCACAGAGGTGGAAGGGAAGAACAGACTCTACAAAACTTGTTCTTTGACTTCCACGTGTACTACGGCATATGCTGCCACATTATATACACATACACAATAACAAGTATATTCGAAAAAAGAATTTGATAAAAACACATAATTTCTTATGGAATTGTGCCCAGCCCAAATGAATTTGCTATTTGGTTTAATAGGATCCTTGATGAGCAGCGTATCAGTTAATGTAGTTGTTTCTGGATGTTCTTTTGAAAATGTAGTTTAAGTTCTTGGGTGTTCATTAGTCTTAGTCTCTGATTCTGAAGTTAGCCTATTTAACTTAATGATTTGTAGCATGTAATTAAGCATTTTATGCAGTCAAAGTGAGCCATGATAAAGATGAAAAAGAGCTGATACTGCACATTTCATTTGATTTTGGCAGATGGTTATGCCAGTTGTGGTAAGTGTTCTGTGACTTGTCCAATCTTACAGCAGAAATGAGAGTTTAACTTGAAAAATATGGAGCTTTTTTAATCCTCTGCTGTTAGTATGGATGTAAGTTGAACTAATAGTTTTAGTACTTTGACTTTTATCTGTTAGACATTCTTCAGACTACTAACTGTCATTTGATTGTGGAGATTATACAGAGGATAGGCATGGTCCTTAAAAGCTGTCTTAGCTTTTAAAATTATCACACCTATGCAAGATGGCAGTATTAAATCAAGAACATTATAAAGCTACAAATATTGTAATAACTAAGTTGCAACAAAACTAAAGTTTCTATCTGATGAAAGCTCATGTGACTTTAAAATTTAGCAAGACCAGTCTTTCCATCCATCCATCCATCCATCCATCCATCCATCCATCCATTCATTTGGAAGCCTAACTGTGTTATCACTCTGCCTTGATGATGACAATGATATCTTGGGAAGTGTTTGTGCTCCAGTGGATAGGTGCCACTTTGAAATGATTATCATTTCAATTAAAGACCTACAAATAAAACTAAGTCAAATACCTACATATAAACTGCACATACTCAAATTTCTCTTGTAATTCATAATTTCCTCTTCCCGTTAAAGTACTGCATGCTTTTAATCCCAGCACTCAGGAGGCAGAGGCAGGTGGATCTCTGAGTTCAAGGCCTGCCTGGTCTACATAATGAAGTTTTAGGCCATCCAGGGCTACATAGTGAGACCCTGTTTCAAACAAACAATAAAGTATTCCTGAACAGAAGCCCCTTCACAATCTTGTCACAGATGGTTTTCCATTTTGTGTTACTTAGAAGTCACTTTTGATTTACTTTACCTGGTAGAATTAAGATAATGCATTTTCCTTTTTATTCATTTCCCTTTTACTTACTGAAGCTGAGCTGTTATTGAAGAATTTATTACTTATGTATATTTGGCTCACAGAAGCTTCAATGTTCTTTTTCTTATAGATGTATATCCAGAAAAAGCTCCAGGCTTTCCAGAAAATGAGCTGAAATCCAGATGGGAAAACCTATTGGGCCCTGGGTATGAAGTAATGGTATGTTAAAAATATTTTTAAAAAAGTACTCCCGTTTCATTTCATGTCACGCTCCTAACACTAACTTTAAATGATGTGAGAGAGGCAAAGAATACATAGCCTGCCTTCATTGTTTTCTTCCTGCCTTTCTTTTCTACTAGATCCATCATTTTTTTTAAAAGCATTTTAAGCTGTAAGAACAATTAAGCACTGCACTCAAACTTCAGTTACAGTTAACAGACACTCAGTTCATATTGAAGCCATTTAAGTCAGCAATAGGCAGAAGAGCCTTAAGAGAGCCAAGCTTGCCTTTAAATTTGTAACTTGTATCAGCTGCTTAAAATTGCTGGCATTTTTATGATTGCTTTTATGATCTGTTTGTTTTATTGTACACTGAAAGGGCTGTGGATATTAGTCCTATGTTTCACAAAGACTCTTACAGTTTTATGAGAAAGATGAAAGAATGATTATCCAATGTATTTAGAAGAGCAGGAAGTAATTTAGATGAGGCCTGAGTTTATGGTGCCAGTGGACCATTAGAGTTCCTTTCACCTGTTATTAGACTTGTCCAGGAAGGGATTGGTTACATCGTCCCACGTGAAAGCAGATGGTTCTACTAGAAAAGCTCATCCATGTTAGCAAATGTGGTAAGAGTTTCTATCATCTTTCACACTTTTTTTTCTTTTCTTTTTTGAGACAGTGTCTTGGTATATAGCCCAACACCTTTTCCTTATGTATATTTATCACTAATACTGGATGATGGTTACTGCTGGAGACTCCTTTTTTCTTCTTGATTTGGAATATCTAGCCACTGTCACCAGAATATCATATCGTCAGTGCCATTAAGATGAGTCAAAATGGCTACTTTCTCTTCTTGTTAACCTGTGCTTGCCAGTTATTTCTCATAATTGCTGCTTCTCTACTCTGTAGAACACTGCCACTAGCCTATCTCCTAAAAAGTCACCTTTTCTATATTCTTAGTGGTTGATGTTCAGAGATATGTGACTCACCAATTTTGCGATGGGATTTTTATTTTTATTTTTTGGAGACATGCAGCCCAATCTGGTCTCAGACTTGCTATGTAGCCAAGCATGACCTTTAACTTGTGATCTTCCTGCTTCCACCTCCTAAGTGGTTCATGCTTGGTTTATGCTAGAAATCAAACCTGGGGCTTTGCATGCTAGGCAAGCCCTCCACCAACTGAGTTATATCACTAGCCTCTTTGATGGGCTTTTTTCTATTAAAGTCTTATTCTCTATCTAACCGTCTTCAGATTTTATATATCATATGGTGATGTTCTAGCATGGGCTAGAAACAGAAGATGGAATTTGGTGTTGAATCTTCAAAGTGATTCATTAAAAAATGTAGCTTGTGGTCAGTGTGCAGAGAATAAGAGATTTTGGAGCGCTCAGCCCTAAATGGGATACCTCTCCTCCCAAGGCTCAGGGATCATTATGGAAGAGGAGTGGAAAGATGGTAAAAGCCTGAGGTGGAAGGTAAATAAAATATTGTCTGGACACCATAGTTCCTAGTTGCACATAGGAACTCGCAGAGGAACTCTCAGTGCTTATGACAGCATGCATAAGATCTATGCAAACCTAAGCTAGACAGGGACCCTGTATAGATGGAGGAGGTGGGCAGGAAGCCCTAGTGCTAGGTAGCATCTATTAGCAATTGATAAATGCTAGGAGAAGGAGAGTCACTTTTCCTTACTGGTGTGACACCTGATAGGTTGACCAGACTCCCAGGGTTAAGAGCATTTAGGAAACACAGATTAGATTCCATAGGCCTTTATTTTATTTATTTTATTATTTTTATTTATGTGTACGAGTGTATTGCCTGCATGTATGTAAGTACACCCATGTTATGCAGTGCCTGTGGAGGTCAGAAGAGGGTGTTGGATTCCCTGGTTAGGAATGATTATCTGCCATGTGGGTGCTGGGAATCGAACCCAGGTCTTCTGTAAGACCAGTCAGCCCTCTTAACCACTGAGCCACATCTCCAGCCAAGATTCCATAGGCCTTTAAAAAAAGGCAAGTAGGGGCTGGAGAGATGGCTCAGCGGTTAAGAACACTGGCTGTTCTTGCAGAAGATTTGGGTTGAAATCCCAGCACCCATATGGCAGCTAGTAGCTGTCCGTAACTCCAGTTCCAGGGTATCTGGCAGCCTTTTCTGTCCTCTGTGGGCATTGCACAACACAGGTAAATTTACCTACATGCAGGCAATACACCATACACATAAAATAAAAATAATAAATAAAAAAATAAAAAAAGCAAGTAATAGTAGAGGACATGAAGTGGAAGGAGGGTAGTAAGATGGGGATGAAGGGAGGGGAGGGAGTCTGAATAGGATCAAAATATACTGAGTGAAAGTCTCAAATAAATAAAAATATATTTTTCAAAAAAGCATGAGCTTTGCAGTTGACCACCTGATCTGCTAGGCCATTCAACAGCTGTATGCCTGTATGTTTTAGTCTTTGGCCTAGCAAGATGGCTCAGCTGGTAAATGTGCTTGTTGCACAAGCCTGGAAACCTGAGCTCTATCCTTAGAACACATTCAAAGGTAGAAGGAAAGAACTGACTCCACAGAGTTGTTCTATGACTTTCACTTGTGTGTTGTGACATACGTGTCACCTTCATTGTGCACACACGTACACAATAACAATAAATAAAATTACTAGTAATGATCTGCCTGAAATTGGATTTCTTCATCTTTAAATTGGATCACAGGGGAACCCATTGTGATAATTAATGCAGTTTTTTCATTCATCTAACATTATAACCCAGGAAGGGTGTCAAGTGCTGGATAATAAAGCATGTGACATGGCACAGGGAAGGAAGGGGTTCAGAATGTGCAAGTTCACCCTCCACTTGGCTTTCATGAGAAGATGCTCATGGAATAATCCATATATGAACTGCCACTTTAGCAGAACATTATAACCCAGGAAGGGTGTCAAGTGCTAGATAATAAAGCATGTGACATGGCACAGGGAAGGAAGGGGTTCAGAAAGTGCAAGTTCACCCTCCACTTGGCTTTCATGAGAAGATGCGCATGGAATAATCCATATATGAACTGCCACTTTAGCAGAGAACAAGGCCTTGAGACTATGAGAAATAATCTTTGGTGAGGAAAAGAACAGGACAGACTGACTGCTGTTAAGCAATACCCTAGGAAACTCAGCTCCAGGGTTTGGCCTGAGAGTCAGGAAATCCTAGAGGACAAGTTTTAACAGGACACAGGTATAATGCCTTCAAAAAAGATTGCAGTTACTGCATCATCAGTTGTACATCCAGCTAAAGACCTGCCCATTCTTTGCATAAATGCATTTATAGATTTAAAAACATATTGTGGCTTGTTCTAAAAGATTGTGGAGTAGGAGCAGGAAGCTAGGTGAGACAAATGGGCAAACGAATGGGTATTCTACTGTTTCTTATTGTACTTTCTTCTGGGATCTACTCATCTAAAATGCGGTACTGTTGGTTTTAGGTTAGATTATTGTTTAACTTATTCCCTCCCTTCCGATGCACTGTATTCTTAATAACTTACAGATGCAAATCACCACTGTTTGGTTACAAGGAACTCCCTTCTATGAACGTTGTGGAAACTTAGAACAGTACTTTTAGGTCAGGATGAAAAGTTTTGAATATTTCTCCAGGCTCTCCATAAGGGATCGAGCTTTTCTGACTGTGCCTTTCCAAGCACCCCCAGGGAGATTGGTTTGATCTTATGGTGGAAAGTAAGTGCTCCAGTTTTCGCAAACTTGTTTGACTTTACTGACATTGCAGGGTTTTTTTTTTTTTTTTGAGGGGGATGGTGGTATGAGACAGGGTATTATGTAATCCTGGCGGGCCTCAAACTGTGTAGCTGAGGCTAACCTTGAACTCTTTATCCCTGATCCTTCCACCATCTCCCAGATGCTGAAATTACATGTGCATACGTCCGTGATTAAACTTTTAAGACCTGCATTTGAAATTTTAAAATGGCTATGCTTTAGGTTTTAGCAAGAGTAAAAAAAAGTTTTTTTTTGGTCTTGTTTTGAAGCAGGGTCTCCCTGTAGCCCCAGCTGTCCTGGAACTCACTATGTAGACTAGGCTGGCTTTGAACTCACAGAGATCCGCCTGCCTCTGCTTCCCAAGTGTTGGGACTAAAGGCGTGTGCCACCACGCCCAGCTCAAGAGTAAAATTTTATTTGCTATGATTGTGTGTATGAGTTAGGTGCACGTGGAGGACATGACATGCGTGTGGAGATCAGAGGACAACTTACAGGAGTCAGTGTTCTCCTACCTTTACATGGGTTCAGAGGATTGAAGTCAGGTCATCATGCTTGTGTGGCAAGCACTTTCACCTGCTGAGCCATCTTGCTGGCCCAAGAGTAAAATTTTGTGGATTCAATATAAAATGTTACAAATTTTAGAATCGTAGACTTTAAAAATCAGTATAGTCAGCTCTTTGTTGGTTCATATATGTGGGTTCCATATTCTCACTGTGGTTCATACATAGTTAAACAAAACTTTCATGTGAACTGAACATGAACAAACTTTTGTTTTTATATCATTATTCCTAAGCAATGCAGTATGATATCTGTTTATGTAGCATTTTCCTTGTATTAGGTATTAATTATTTGCAGATTGTACACCTTTAGGAAGAACTTGAACATCCTTGGATTTTTGGGCTTGGGAATAACCCCTCAATACCAAAAGATGGATGTTTGTGTGTGTGTGTGTGTGTGTGTGTGTGTATACAGGCATGCATATTTATTGTTCAGATACTGTTGTTCTGAGTTTTATTGTTAGGCATCCACAGAAATGAATTCGTTATAAGCAGAAGTACTTTACTGGTGATTTCCATCTGCAAGTTGTTAGAAAACAATCCATCCAGTGGAAAAGGGATAAATCAAATTACATATCAGTTTCAGTTCAACTTTTAGACAATTTAGGAAAAAGAGGTTAATGTGGAGAATAACAAAAAAGCAAATATAGTATGAAATTTTGCTATATGCTATATACTTATGGATGTCAGAAATATAGGTTAGAGATTTTCAGAGGAGTTGTCAATGTGTAGGTTTTGCTGATATTTTCGGAAAACAAGGAGGAAATAAAGTTATCTTTTTACAAATATGTAAATATTTTTATTGTAAATCTAGGTAGCTACTTTGGACACGCAGATTGCAGACAATGCGGAGTTCCAGAAGTATTCAAAGGTAAGCAATGTTCTTAAAATGTGCTGGTCTTTTATTGTTGTGATGAACTTTCTCTAAATTCTTGCTGAAGTTACTGAGTGGTGTGACCTAAAATTTTCAGAATTCAGTCGTATGTGTTTACCAGAGGTAACAAGGGGTCTCACTGTCATAAAAGATACTGGTGATTAGAAAGGCTGGGAAGAATGTGGAATTCTTATGTTGCTTCCAGAAGCCAAGAGCCCAGGCTTGCCTCTGAGCCACAGTAGAAGCAGTGAAGGTAAACAGCTCAGTGTGTCAGCTTTTCAGACATTATAAGACTTTTGAAAAACGTTTCCTAAAAATCATGACCATGAATAAACTTTGAAAAGCTTCATGTCTGGATGTTCAAGGACAAAAAATATGGTGACCTTTTGAGTATAGGTTATTCTTGAACTTAGAATGTTTTTGGTTGTCTTTATTTTTTTGTTGACAAAGTATAAGAATGTAACTTACAGATTTTCCTCAACATTTTTAGTATCCTCTCCCTACAAATTAACCTTATAGTTTCTATTCCGGATAACTAAAATCCAAGGCAACTAAAACTTTGAGAAGTCTTGTAAGTAATTTTCTCAATAAATAATAGAAAAGGAAAGGTTTTCTTGCCCAGGGTTTCATGCTGTACTCCGTGGACGTACGGGCTGAGCCTGCCTTAGGCTCCACTTTCAGATGCATTGTCCAAAATGAGTTCTGAGGGGCTGGAGAGACGGCTCAGTGGTTAATAGTGCTTGCTGCTTACCTGCATTTTAAGTGACTTCCTCACTGTGTTGACTGGCTGGCCAAGTTATCCTCAAGTACCTTGTAAAAGCAACATGGCACCTTATAGCTAGTTTTAACTTATTTGCACTGTCATCTTTCTGAGAGTATTCATCAATTAATAAATCATCTAAATACGCTGGGAGGTATTTCATTCAGAATGAGAGTAAGAAGTATAATACCCCATCAAAGTTCAGTGGTTACTGATTGCCTAGGTATGGTATACTGATTATGTGTTCTGAAACCAAACTAATTATGTTCAGATTCTAGCCTAGAATTCAGTAGCTATGTGATCATGGAAAATATTTAAGCCCTGCCTCTCAGTTTTGTTGTATGTAAATGGGAGTAGTTATATAGATTATTCCTTCATGAATTTGTATAGGAATTAAATA